GGTTTGGCACTATGCTAACTTAGCTAAATTTAGCCACCAAAAAAGCAGTCTGTGCTTGTCAAAGACAGTGGGTGACTGTGGATATCACCACAGTCAACTAACTTAATGTTATTTTATTTAACCCTATTTTATCAAACCCCCAATGTATTTAGCTCACTTTCCATTGTAGCTCGTGTACCGCGCCCACAGTTAGCGCAGCGCTTGTCTGGTTACACGAGGAACGCAGTGAGACTCCCTATCTGAAAAGATCTTAACACCCAGTTTATCATAGGGAACGTTTACTCAGTGGCCTAAGTTATTCTTTAAGGTCATGTCTAGAATATGTACATTATAATACTGTCTTTGTGGGTAATAGGCCTATGATACAGTTTTTACTTGTACTGGACTCAAGATGTTTGTGAGTTGTGGTCAGCTTTGGTTGTGTTAAATTGTTCTATTCTTTTTAACTGTCCCCTTACGGGCTCAGCATATAGTGATCAATCCACAGTTCCCTTAATGTCCAGCCACATAAGTGAGTTGTTTATCATTTACCTTTTGTACTGCAGTGTTCATTTGGTAGCTGTCAATTAGATACATTTTTCGATTTATTTTTCTATAGCTCTGGTATTTCAAATCTGATACTGCATGTTAATGTGTTTTCTTTCTATTTTGCTGGCCTTGATGTTAAACTTATCTTTTCTTACCTTTCAGATTTTTAGACAAAAAAAAGACAAAAAAAACTTCCTATGCAGTGGACGTGTAAGTACTGCACATTTTGTGCTGAAAAGAGGGGCTATTTACTTAAGCGTAATGCATGGGTGCCACACCCGAATATCTCCACTACCGTGCCTTCATAAGGAGTGTCTGTGCACATTTAAATCTTTCAATGCACTCAAAGTCCACTTATCAACATGGCACACTCAAAAGGACCTAAGGAACGTGAGTGAAATTGCTTTCCATTGTAAAAAAGGAGCCTGCTGTACACAACACGGTTGAACGATAGCCAGCACTCTTCACAGAGCGACAGGTAAGATAGTTTTGTTCTCAACCAATAAAATAATGCCAGTCAAAAATACATTTAAGGTGTGTGGCTAGAAATCCAAACACAGTTGAAATGTTAACACCTCTCCATCCCTACCCACCCCTCTCTACTTTTTAAGGTGTTTGCCGAGTTTAATCGAATCGCCAGTAAGAATCTTGAGGGAGACTTCTTTGAGGCTCTGGACCAGTACACCCCGCGGCTCGAAGACATTTTCAAAACAAAAAGGAACTGTTGGCCGGAAACTCAGTGAGCTGATGCAGCACATGAGCTGGATGGTAAGTAGGTTAATTTTGCTTTTGATCTGTATGATACTTCATCAATCAAGTTCTAAATGAGATGATCCAGACCAACCTGTTCTATTTTCTGTCTGACCTGTGCGTGTGCCAAATAACTCAGTTAACTGGTCTTTTCTCTCTCTGTATCATTAGACACCAGACGTGACAGTACTTCGCTCTGTTGTCCTCAAAGGCATTTTGATAATATTTGGTGACAACGCCAGTGAATTCTTCAAGACATGCTCTGTAAGTACTTACACATAAGTAAAAGTTCGGTGTGTATTAATATAAAACTATACCTGTGCTGACAGAAAATGTGATTCTATCTGCACAATATACAACATAGATTTTGTATAATAACAAAAATTAGTGTTTTAGAAGAGCATAAATTGCCAATACTGACGAATGTGTGTGTGTGTGTGTCTGTCTAGGATACAGCAAGAGACGAGGCCCTAGAACGCATCACTGTTGGTGTGTTGACAGTTGTCAGTGAAGATGGTCCTCACGAGGGTCCAAGTTCAGTGGACCTCCAGCCCATCTCAACTGCCATGATTCTGGAGGGAGGTATCGTCATGGATCACATTAAAAACTTGCCTCAGGCAGTTTGTCCGTTATTTGGGCTAACATATGCTTTGCATTTGGATTACCCAAAATGCTTTGCAAAGACAGTCAACTTCATTCAGGCTGTGATGCTTGGACTGGGAAAGAAAAACCTCCCACCAAAACTGTTAACTCTGAAGAACAGTCTCCTGGATTAGACTAGTAAAGAGCTAAATCAGCTGTCAGCAATTTAAAAGTTATAATAATGTTCTCCTGTTATTAGATAAAGTTTGATGCTTTCATGCAACTTGTTTATCTTAATTAAAAAAAAAAAATCATTCAAGTCTGTACCATGTTATGCTGGTATGCTAATGGAGGAAATAGTGCCACTGAAGTCCTGTAGTTATCAGGTGTTTACCTGTTTATTATTGTGAGACTGTTACATGCATAGAATTAGTTCACAAAAATGTGGCGTCCATGTCATGGTACACAGTCCAATCAAACCACAAGTTATAAGTTATTTGTCTGCTGTTTAGATTCTTGGGAACAGAACACCGCTGAATAATAGTAATTTTATTGATTATTGTAAGGTTATTACATGAGTAAATGTTATATTGGAGAATTGGAATCAGAAGTAATAAAAAATGTCAAATGCTTTTTGTTCAGCCTAGACCTGTAAATGATGCAATTTTTTTTTTTTTAATAAATGCATCTGAATCAACCCAGAGAGTGTTCTTTTAAAGTATATTGTTGTGGTGTTTTTGCCTTTATTAGGTAACAACAGCTAAAAATAGATAAGAAATAGGGGAGAGAGAGAGAGAGAGAGAGAGAAAAGGGACAAGGACCCATTCAAGGAAATTAGTTTGTTTAATTTAAGTGAACTCAAAAAATGAGTGAGTAGTAAGTTGTGGGTATTTAGTAATTCTAAGTGGGGTTAAATTTGTATCAAGCAGTCCAGACAAAATGAAAAAATTAAGTTAACACTAAGCATTGTTATTAAGTTACATGAACTTAATTTTTTTGTTTTAGTTGTACTACTTGATTTAGTACTGCACACTTAAAATGAACAAGCTTTTCTAACTCACTAATCTTAAGACTACTGAGCTTAATTTTTTTGAGGCAACGAGTTTGCATACTTTTTTTAAGTATGGTCAACTAATTAGATTTTACAGTGTAGAAGTGCTAAAAGTGTTTATCACAGCCGAGTGTAACTCATGCAAACAGAGTATAGTAATGTGACACGTGTGCGCTTCATATGGTAACAAAGTGTAGTTTGTGGAGTTTAATTTTGCAAAGGATCTGTAGTGTTGTGCTAATTGTGTGTAGTGTTTTGAAAAGACGGGCGCTGTTTTGAAAATCGTGCTTAAGCAATCGAGAAACTAATGTCGTTGTTTTTTCCTATTTGCTGTTGTGCGTTCCTATTTGCTGTTGTGCGTTGCACTTCAGGGCCGCCGTAAGAGGACAGCTGTGCCGTGCTTTCTGCACCGCATCAGGCTGCGAGTCCAGCTGCTCCCCCCCCCCCTCTCCCCCCCACAGGCAAGCCACCACGGAGACGTGGTCCGTTTTATACGGCCAAAACGAACACACATCAGAGCCACGGGGCCGCGCCGCCCTGCGCGCTCAGTACAACAATCGGTTTTCCAGAGCTGAGCGACTGCTGTAGAGGCACTGACACACATGAATGAGCTGAACATGAAGCTACAAGGGAAAGATCAGTTTGTGCATGAAAACATACACAAATGAGAGAGTGAGAGTCTTCAAAGCCAAGTTGACGTGGAATTGGAACTCATTGATCTTCATTGTGACGCCGTCTTAAAGGAGAAGTTCAACCCCAAACCGAGGATGCTGGTGTTGTTTGGTGGTTCAGCGTGATGAAAACCAACCAATCACGCCACAGATCCCAGTTAACGGATGAACACCTCAGATCTGTCCTGAGAATTGCCAGAACAAAGCTCTATCCATCTGATCCCGTCTGTCAAATTTCAAAAGTCAATGTGGCCCCTGAGCCAAAAGGTTTCCCACCCCTGTTGTAGAATCACACTCCTTTTTACTTGGAAGAGTGAAGTAGGTCGTGTGGTAGAACAATGACGAATTTGTCTTTGCTGCTGGTTTGAATTATTCAGAAGAAAAGCTTCAGTTATTTCTAGTACTTTCAGAGATTTTCTTTTTGCGGAAGCGCTGTACTCTTCAGTATGCAGTCGCTTGGAGCACCGGGGTCGAGCCACTGTGCAGCTTCCTTCTCTCCAGGTGCTTCAAACAGTCATTGGCTAGTTATGTGATGCGTGTGTCTGCTTCACATGTTATTCTAAAAGCCTCATGGACCCTGCAGAGCCTTTTTAGAACGAGCATGAACAGACTGAATGTTGTGCGTGTTGTGTCCCGTCAGAGCGGTTGCCTGTGTGAAGTGGAAGGAAATTTGCGTCACGAGGAACGTTGCAGTTCCAGTGATGCAGACACCGTGCAGTCACATGACCATCACATTACAGGAGCTCAGTTTGAAGCTACATCCAAACCGGGCAGCACCTCGTTCTTTGTTTTTCTGAATAAATCCTGAAGAGCAGATTTAGTTTCAAACTCCCACCAAACGCTAACTGAGCAACTCCGTAGTTCCATGTGGTCGCCTACTCTCCATCGCTCAGCCTCTCGCCTTCTCTTCTCATTTCATTCCATTCAAGTCCAACACCCTCTCTCATCTTCTGTCTTTCTCTCCCCATTCGAACCTCTTGTGTGGATGCAGCTCTGCAGAGGGACGTGGTTATTAGCTGTGATGGCCGTCTCTCTCTCTCTCTGGAGCAGGCCTATCGAGGTGTGCAGGCCTCAGCAGCCATTCACAGCCCAATACAGAACGACACGGTGGGAAAAAAAGAAGACAAATTTGTCCGTTCTGGAATCAAAGAGCAATTTTCCGCTCTATTAGAAGGCAGCAGTTTTGTTTTTCACTCGTGGATCTTTTGCTCGGGCTTGTGTGTATGTGTGAGTCCGTATTTATTTGTGTGTTTGTGTGTTAACTCCTGTGCATGTGTTTGAGTAATACTGTGAATCCCATTTGTGCAGTAGCATGTTTTCAGTCTCATCTTGTGTCATACTGTGTTTATTTGGTCCTATGCGTCTGGTTCAGTTGTGTGTGCGTGTGTGTGTGTGTGTGTGTGTGATTGGGTACTCACGCTCCATAGCCCGGGATGGGTGGAGGAGGAGGTGCAGCACGGAATGTGTTGTAGACGGCGCGACCCCTTCCTCTCAGATGGGCCACAGCTGCTCCTGTACCCGGGTAAGGAAACCCTGTGACTGAGAGAGAGCGCACAATACGTTACCTTTAAAAAGTACAGCAGCTCACTGGCCACTTTGCATCAAACACACACACATGGAGATCCACTTGGACACTTGGAGGAATAAAAAAGTGTGACTTTCGATCAGACGAAAGTACGGCGTCTTGAACGTGGTGAACAAGAAGAGGAGCTCCTGGGGGGAGGCGAGTGGGGGAGGGTTTGGCAGCAGGGACACAAAGCAGATGGCCTGCATTGTTTGAGGCTGATTCAGCCTGAGGCCATCCTTCATCAAGCACACACACAGGGGTCACCCCTACAGGCCCAGGGTGGCATAGTGATGTGATGCTTCAGCTGAAGGTCCCAGTTCAACCTTCAGTCAACGGGGGAGCAAGGCCTTCACACGCACACGCGTGTGCTAACACAGACCTTGATGAGCACACACAGACGGCGTGGCCTAGCATTCATGCTCTCATTATCCACGCTGGTCTGTGCACACGGGCCGCCGAACCTCCTCTGAGGAGCACGGCACCGATTAGTTGTTGCAGTTGCTGTTGTTGTGTGCAGTTAAAGAAGAAAGATGCAAACTACAGTAACACTACACAGGCGTCATTGTGCGCTGAAGAGTCACCGCCCCTTTAGATGCACATCATACTTTTCATTATTACATATACAAGTCATTTCATTACATTCCTTTTAAAACAAGTAACTTTTTGATGTTGACAGTTCATTGATCAGCTCTGATAAACCTCAAGCAGATTGTTCAAGATGTTACATTTTGAAACAAACTTTATGGAAAATAACGGTCCATTACGGTCCAGGGTGGGGGTTGGCGGCGCTGACGGTCCAGGGTGGGGGTTGGCGGCGCTGACGGTCCATTACGGTCCAGGGTGGGGGTTGGCGGCGCTGACGGTCCATTACGGTCCAGGGTGGGGGTTGGCGGCGCTGACGGCCCATTACGGTCCAGGGTGGGGGTTGGCGGCGCTGACGGTCCATTACGGTCCAGGGTGGGGGTTGGCGGCGCTGACGGTCCATTACGGTCCAGGGTGGGGGGTTGGCGGCGCTGACGGTCCATTACGGTCCAGGGTGGGGGTTGGCGGCGCTGACGGTCCATTACGGTCCAGGGTGGGGGTTGGCGGCGCTGACGGCCCATTACGGTCCAGGGTGGGGGGTTGGCGGCGCTGACGGTCCATTACGGTCCAGGGTGGGGGGGTTGGCGGCGCTGACGGCCCATTACGGTCCAGGGTGGGGGGTTGGCGGCGCTGACGGCCCATTACGGTCCAGGGTGGGGGTTGGCGGTGCTGACGGCCCATTACGGTCCAGGGTGGGGGTTGGCGGTGCTGACGGTACGCCAAAGTCGGTATCCCCCCCGTTGGTGGATGTGGCCCACGGGCCGGAGTTTGAGACCCGTGACTTAAACCTAATTGTCAGTTTGAACCCTGAATAGGATTCTGGTTTTGTCTGTGTTACAAACAACGATGTAGAGGAGTGTAATTTATAGTTATTAGTAGTAGTTTACAGTACAATACTGTAATATGTTCAAATCATCAAAGTCTGTGACAGTTATGAAAAGATGAGTAGTGATGATGCGCACATTCGACGACTGTGGGTCAGTGGGGAGCAGGTCGTCCTCCAATCAGAGGGTTGTCGGTTCGATCCCAGGCTCTGCTAACCCGCATGTCCATGTGTCCTTGGGCAAGACACTTAACCAACATGGCTCCTGTAGCTGCGACTACAGTGTGTGGATGTTAGTGACTGATGGCAGGTGTCACTGTGTGTGGTTCTCCTGTCATCAGTGTGTGAATGATGTCATGTAGTGTTAAAGCGCTTTGAGTGGTCAGAAGACTAGAAAAGCGCTACACAAGTACAGGCCATTTACCATTTACATTCAATCTGTGATTATAGTAGAGCATGGTTCTAATTAAAATGATAATAGTGTTTAATAATCAGCATATGAAGTTATGTAAAAGAATATCTCCATTTAACAAATGTTACTTTATGTGTAAAGTTGTGTGATCAAATAGTTTGGGTTAGCTGTGTTTTTCCAAAAGATTAACAATATTCAATATTTTGTGCATGCTTTTGTTTTGTCTGTGTGCTTTAGACCATGACAAGGCTGGTTTCAGAAATGGCAGTAGCTTTCCTAAAAGAATACATAAATGTATTATGTAATCCATTCTGTCTACTCCTGGTGTGTAAAGGGCTGTATTTTAAATATGTAACAGTGGGTGATTGTGATTTAATCCCTAGCGACTACAGGCTGAAGCTGGTTTCATACTAATGAAAGGAATATATTAACACAGTACTAACATCCCGAGAGAGAATGGTTGATATTGATTACAATGTTACTTTAGTCAGCGAATTGCAGAAATGGAATCTTCTCTGTAGAGACATGAACTCCTTTCAAAATAAAAGCCCTCATATTCACATTCTGTTGCTATTAAGCAAAACCTTCTCCTGTTGTCAGGAAATGTGCACAACATCACAGTGATGGATTGATAATTTAGAAGTCTACAGAGTTGTTTTCTGTACAGTTTAAAACTACATTTTAAACTGCCCACACTGGTTTTGTAAAACCAGTTAATGAATAGTTTCATGTGGTGACCTTTAGGTTGGGATGGGTTAAACAAACAGAGCACTTACACCCAGGACTGTGCTGTGCGTGTCCCATGAGGAACAAGTCAACGTTAACTCATCTTAATTATGCCACATACGGCTGTGGTAGATAAATAGTCCAATAAAACCATCATTTACTAAATGAACATCATGCTCTAGTGAAGATAACTACAGTTTTAGACCATAAACTGTTTGCAATGTTTACTGAGGAAATGCTGCTGCTGGTCCCTACAGAGAATGTATGTTTTAAGACACTTCTGCTTTACTCTTTGAAACCCATGGTTGCTGTCTGGTCTAACTTTGTACGTAATACTCTGCACACTCTGCTAGCATTATTTCTCTGCCAGTGTACTTGACTGATACCTCACTAGCAATTATTGCAAAAATAAATCGATTTACTTAGAAGAAGTAGCGAGGCATCTTGACAAGAGAAACTTGCATGTACGATGACCTGCATGCTGTAAGGTCAATCAGATTCCAGTCCTCCGAGATACCAACTATCTGCAGCAGCAAAGAACACATCATGCTCCACTGTAAGTGCCCCCACCATCCATCTCGCTGTCTCTCTCTGCAGGAGGACAGAGGTCTGCCTCTCCTTACTCTGACCACTCAGATGGGGTTCCTATGCCACGCAGTCCATCGGTGACATATTCCGAGGAAAATATCAGTTTCCCCCAGTTGCCCACACCTTCCCTCTCATTCTCAATATCAGCCGCCGGTATATTCAATTCCTCTTTGTGTGTGTGTGTGTGTGTGTGTGTGTGTGTGTATATGCATATGAGTGAGCATGAGGACGTGTATGTGCATGTTGCTGGTGGTGTGACGTATATAACAATGAGCAATGGCTTGTGTGCGCTACAGCAGTGCTGTAACAAGCCATGAATCATGGCAGGCCTTTCGCCTGACAGCCAGCAGGCCCATAAAACCAACAAATAACATACACTGGTACACATCTGCATGAAAAACTATCGCACATACATGCACTATTAATGCAGCGTGTAATACAATTACTGGTGATGCGAGATAGGGTCGGTTGGAATTAAAAGTATTATTTAGAAAGGCCACTTTAATATGTGATATGTATCTGTGTGCGTTTGGTGTGCCACTATAATTATGGCGTTGCATCTCAATACCAGGACAGTGACTGGGCACAAGGCTTTATCATTGTGTCTTCAAATCAATCATCTGAAAAATTGGGGGATATTTAGGTAAATTACATTCGCTAGCTGGAGTGGCAGAATGACTGCCGATAAAAGTTCTTCTGAAATGGATGCAGATCCTGTTGAAAAGTATCCTTGAGGGAAGTGAAATGAACTGCAACTTTATAGGAATGGTTTTCCATAAAAATCACATGTACTCATCCAAAGTTGAAAGGATTTCAAATGACACGTTGGGTCCATCTGGATGGGACAAGGCTCAAACATTCTGTAGTATTCAAGCAAAACTAGAAAGAAACTTTCTAAAATCTGTCCATACCAAGCCATAGATACCAGGCCATAGATACCAAGCCATAGATACCAAGCCATAGATACCAGGCCATAGATACCAGGCCATAGATACCAAGCCATAGATACCAGGTCATAGATATCAAGCCATAGATACCAGGCCATAGATATCAAGCCATAGATACCAGGCCATAGATACCAAGCCATAGATACCAGGCCATAGATACCAAGCCATAGATACCAGGCCATAGATATCAAGCCCTAGATACCAAGCCATAGATACCAGGCCATAGATATCAAGCCCTAGATACCAGGCCATAGATACCAAGCCACAGATAACAAGCCACAGATATCAAGCCTTGGAAAACATGTCATTGCGTTCTGCTCTGTTGTTTTCCTCCAAGAGAGTGATTTTGATTTTGTAAGATTTTGCAGCATAACTTAGTTGAATGGTTAAAGTTTTCTGTCTTTTGTTTCCTCCGTAAGGAGTGATTTTTGGCATCTTTCATAGTGCCTACAGTTTTAAGGAGGGTTTTTGTTAAGAGACGAGTGCTCACCTGCTATTTTGATCAAGTTGAAAGTCTTTTGTTTTTCCTCCTAGAGTGGAGTGACTTTTGTTTGATATTTTTTGGAGCCTCACTTGCTCTTAAACTATTTATTGGAGGAAGTGTGTTCTAGATAATTTTGATAGTTATTTTCTCTGCCTTGATAGATCTGAGAGATTCAGTCTTTCCAATAAAGACACAAATCCTGTGACAACCCTGCGCCTGTGTCCTGCCGGGCTGGGACAAAATCTCATGTAGCAATATAAATACTTTAACTTCTATGGTATTCATATTCAAACAGGCGTTGAACTGATCTATCGGGACACCATTGGTCTTTTTGTAATCTCATAATAGATATTGATTAGAAATCCATTATAGCACTGATAGGATTTCTGTGACTGTTGATGGGAAAACAT